ATTTAAATCTGTTAATCGAACGAAATCAACTGACATTTAAATAATTTAATTGAACAAAATCAACCAACATTTAAATCTGTTAATCGAACAAAATTGACAGATATTTAAATCTGTTAATGGAAAAAAATCGACCGATATTTAAATCTGTTAATTGAACAAAATCGACCAATATTTAAATCTGTTAATGGAACAAAACCGACCGACATTTAAATTTGTTAATCAAACAAAATCAACTGATATTTAAATAAATGTTATTGAACAAAATCAACCAACATTTAAATCTGTTAATCGAACGAAATCAACTGACATTTAAATAATTTAATTGAACAAAATCAACCAACATTTAAATCTGTTAATCGAACAAAATTGACAGATATTTAAATCTGTTAATGGAAAAAAAATTGACCGATATTTAAATCTGTTAATTAAATAATTTCATTGAACAAAATCAACCAACATTTAAATCTGTTAATCGAACAAAATTGACAGATATTCGACATTTAAACTCGAACAAAATCGACCGATATTTAAATCTGTTAATCGAACAAAATCGAACGATATTTAATATTTAACATCGAACAAAATCGACCAGCATTTAAATTTGTTAATCAAACAAAATCAACTGACATTTAAATAAATTTAATTGAACAAAATCAACCAACATTTAAAACTGTTAATCGAAAAAAATTGACCGATATTTAAATCTGTTAATTGAACAAATTGAACAAAAATTTAAATCTGTTAATTGAACAAAATCGACCGATATTTAAATCTGTTAATTGAACAAAATCGACCGATATTTAAATCTGTTAATTGAACAAAATCGACCGATATTTAAATCTGTTAATTGAACAAAATCGACCGATATTTAAATCTGTTAATTGAACAAAATCGACCGATATTTAAATCTGTTAATTGAACAAAATCGACCGATATTTAAATCTGTTAATTGAACAAAATCGACCGATATTTAAATCTGTTAATGGAACAAAATCAACCAACATTTAAATCTGTTAATCGAACAAAATTGACAGATATTTAAATCTGTTAATGGAAAAAAATCGACCGATATTTAAATCTGTTAATCGAACAAAATCGACTGACATTTAAATAATTTTATTGAACAAAATCGACTGACATTTAAATAATTTTATTGAACAAAATTAACCAACATTTAAATCTGTTAATCGAACGAAATTGACCGATATTTAAATCTGTTAATGGAACAAAATCAACCAACATTTAAATCTGTTAATCGAACAAAATTGACAGATATTTAAATCTGTTAATGGAAAAAAATCGACCGATATTTAAATCTGTTAATCGAACAAAATCGACTGACATTTAAATAATTTTATTGAACAAAATCGACTGACATTTAAATAATTTTATTGAACAAAATTAACCAACATTTAAATCTGTTAATCGAACGAAATTGACCGATATTTAAATCTGTTAATGGAACAAAATCAACCAACATTTAAATCTGTTAATCGAACAAAATTGACAGATATTTAAATCTGTTAATGGAAAAAAATCGACCGATATTTAAATCTGTTAATCGAACAAAATCGACTGACATTTAAATAATTTTATTGAACAAAATCGACTGACATTTAAATAATTTTATTGAACAAAATTAACCAACATTTAAATCTGTTAATCGAACGAAATTGACCGATATTTAAATCTGTTAATGGAACAAAATCAACCAACATTTAAATCTGTTAATCGAACGAAATCAACTGACATTTAAATAATTTAATTGAACAAAATCAACCAACATTTAAATCTGTTAATCGAACAAAATTGACAGATATTTAAATCTGTTAATGGAAAAAAATCGACCGATATTTAAATCTGTTAATCGAACAAAATCGACTGACATTTAAATAATTTTATTGAACAAAATCGACTGACATTTAAATAATTTTATTGAACAAAATTAACCAACATTTAAATCTGTTAATCGAACGAAATTGACCGATATTTAAATCTGTTAATGGAAAAAAAATTGACCGATATTTAAATCTGTTAAT